TGTCCGACGCCTTAGAAATTCTTTAACGACTTTATGTCGCACACCGCGCACACCAAGAAACGCCATTTAAGCCAGTCTCGCGCCCCGGTAAAACCGCCTTCTCGCGTCGTCCGTCCCATCCTCGAGACACCCGGGGGCCGAAAAGAAACGTGATCGCGCCGATTCGAGCAAGCAACCGACCAACCGTCCGCGGCGCCGTCGCGACAGCAGATTGCAAAATCGTCCCGACCATCTGCGCCGTGAAATTATTTTTCATTTTCTCCGGCGGTTTCGTGTTTCGCGATCATTACGTCCCGCCGCGTCCCGCCGCGCGCCGCGCCGGCGAGAAAGCATTTTTCTCAGCCGCGGGAACACCGCCGCCCGCTGCTCCGTTTACGTGAAAACGCGGAATAGATTCGGATTTTAAACTTTCCGCAACGGCGAGCACACGTTTAACGCTGCGTCTTAATGAGCGCACGCGTCGGATTAGAAACGTTTAAATTAGAAAATCTCAAGGATCGCGGATGGGGATCGCGGTTCGTCAGAAAAGTCCTCGCACGTAACTTCGAAACAGGGAGCACTGTTTCGGATGCGGAGGAACAATTCGATCGAGGAAACGGTGATCCAATCCTTCCGGAGCATAGAAAAACTATATTTATATATTATATATATTATTATCTTTATATATTATTATTATTAGTAGTAGTAGTAGTAATAGTATTATTATATATTATTATTATTATTAGTAGTAGTAGTAGTAGTAGTAGTAAGAGTATTATTATATATTATTATTATTAGTAATAGTAGTAGAAATAGTATTATTATATTATATATTATTATTATTATTATTATTATTATTATTATAATACACAAAAGGTATATATAATACATATATGTATAACCTTGACATATATGGACCGTTTATTTTGAAAGTGGTGCAAGTCCACTTTTTTTAAAAAATGAGATATTGCATAATTTCTTATTCGCATAATCTAGCGTAACCGTTTTATTAATAATTATTCAATATTTAATATCTTAAAAAATGCCAATGACTTTTTCAATTTAAAATTGGCCAATAAAAAGAATGATGAAAGTCATCGATTATGTGAAAATCACGTAAAAATAATTTC